GCAGCGTTACTCCTTTATTCCCAATCGAACATGGTTGAAGAAGCGGTCACCAGTCGGGGAGATGTCCTATCTACCTGATCTACAGGACATCGCACTCTGAATGAGTCTGATTGGGTACCTGTCCCAGAGTTGTCATGGAAGCGTCGGTCGCGCACACGCGATGAAAAGAAGTGCTGCGTGAGCATTTCTGAATGTATGTGGAGGATGCACAATCGTAATGGCGATGGATTTCTTTCCGAATTGGTCAAGTTTGAGGGAATAGGCGGAGAATATCAGACATCGGCGGGGATTGAGGTAGTGTATATTCGATTCTCCATCGAATACCCGACCGAATGGCCGTTTTCGTTTGGGGATTTCATGTGGGGTTTCTCTTAGGCCGATTCCACACTACACCAAATCCTGCCTAAAAAGCCATTTTTCAGGCACTTTTCAGGCAAGTTGCCATGGCGATCACTTTGAGAAACACGCGAAAGTGAAAAGTGCTTGTTGTCTACAAAGCAACACCAGCACCCTCGGCCTCTTTCAAGGCAACTTTTTACCTTTTCAGGACACTTTCTGACTTTTCTTCAGCCTTTCGATTTTTTTCCGAATTTGTTCCCTGTCGTACATGTATGTTTCAGTTGTGGTGAGTTGTGAGCTGTCAACAATGCCTAGGGTCATGTTTAGCCAGGAGCTTGAGGGCAAGCTGATCGAGCTTTGGAGCGGATATTTGAGGCGATCTCCGGCCGGTACAGTTCGCAGGAGCTACGCCGGAGGAGATCGCCATCAAGCTGAATTTGTTTGCTGAACAGCTCCGGGAGGAGGCAATATACTGCGTCGATCGTCCATTCCAAAATCGACAACATGAAAACGAAGGCGAAAGGACTGTACGAGACATACACAACGAAAACTGCCACCGGAATGCCTGTTGGCGAGGTTGACAAATATTCGACCTATGATCTGGAATCCGCCTACATAGCGCGCGCTAGCATGGTCAAATATCAAGATTGGGCACGCGAAAATGGGTGATATTCGAGGATTTGGCCCAACAAAGAGCCTCTCCACTACCGCCGTTGCTAGATCAAGCACAGGAAAGCCTCACAGTCTAACCTTCAAAGCAAAGTCCCGTGATTGACACTTGTAGGTGTGAATGCAGCTTCACTTTATAAGCCACTTTATGCCTTCAAGGCAAAGCCACTTTCGGCGTAGTGTGGAATCGGCCTTAGCCACGCGGCGCTTCTTTGGAAACGATTGGTTCTAATTTTGAATATTTTGCCTTTGGAATGTTTCTTCACCATGTTCACGCCCCGTGCATTCATTTCGCCCCAAACCTGGCCATGCAGAGGAGGAAGACGAGCCAGCAGGCGCTAGGCCCGTAAATTACTGCCTGGAAGATATTATTTGGCCAAAGCTTGCTGTTGGCGTTTTTGATTTCTTGGATACGACAGCTCTTGGCTAAAACTGGACCTTGGACGGTCTTTCTTGGATATCAACCCAGGACGCGGTGGTCATGGACGTATCGCCATCGCTTTCAGCCAGATCCTTCTGCTGCCTGAAGCCAATGGCGAAAGTAAAAACTTTATCGCAGCAGCAGCTACTGTTCTGCTGAAAGTGCGAACACAAATTGCTTCGCCAATCCTCAGGCTTGTGCACTTGCAATTTTCAATGTGACCAAAACGATTCGCTTGCCAGTTACTTTGTCCAGGCGTACTCCACAACGAGGAAAATGAAATTCGTGAAGGCAAGAGGCAAGATACGAATCTCGACTCGCTTGAGGCAAGCCGCCAGGAGAACGACAACTAATAATTACTTTTGAGACGAAAGGCCTTCGTTGCGTTTGTCTGTCCCCGGGGAAAATTGCAATTCCGCGGCCGCGTTTTTTTCCGCGTTTTTTGCGATTTTTTAAAAGACCGCGTTTTCCGCGATTTTCCCGCGTTTTTTGAACTTTTTTGTTGCACTACAGTCTACACGTACACACAGTGCACTGTTCGGTCAGCAACGTCTCATCGTGGCGGCTTTTTACTCAAATATGACGAGTGCTTACACCAGAGACTTGTAGCTGATTGATTTCACTACATACTCACTGAAAATTGCCGCACATCAATATTATTCACCGCATATTTATCGCATATTTACCGCAAATTCACCGCAAATTATGCCATATTATGCCGCGTTTTTCCCCGCGTTTTTTGCGATTTTTTTCCGCAATTTTCCCCGGGGACAGGTTTGTTTTGAGTGCGACATGTTCATCTTCCTCGGGCGCGACACAAAGTTTTGAGTCACGTGTCACGATTACTATGGGAACAGCATAGTATGTATGCTGGGGCTTGCTGGGTTCCGTGATGTCAAGAGTACATGAAAAATGGTTTTCATGTAGAGGAGACGGCTCGATACCGGGACGTTTTGACAGCCAAATTTGTATAGACCCAAACCGTTCATCAGCGTTGATTTTTCACTCGAAATTTGTTTGTGGAAGGAAACTGGCATGTTGAAGTTTGCTCTGGGGCCAGAGTCAATCGAACTGAGCCACTCCTTTGTGTTGACCCATTGCCTCCAAGTTGCCCAATTTTTCGCTTCAAAAAAGTTCAAATCAGAGGTGGCTCCAAACCGGACACGTTTTAGAGTGCACGTCAAATTCACTCTGGGTCTGAAATTAGGTAATTGCTATCGCTCCACGACGGCCAGTATAGAGTAACAATAAGCCTTGTGTGTGCTTCCATTAGTTTTGATTGGTATGCGGTGCTTTATTGGCGAGAGGCGAGCCGCTGTTTACCTGCGACAAGAAGTTGATTTATCGAAAGTCGTAAAACTCAAGTCGCAGTGCGAAGCAACACGTCAAAAACTCACCTGCTTGATATGGCGCTTCTGGTCATCGCAGAGCCATGAAATTTTGGCTCGGAGTATAACACATAGTAGTCTCACTGTGACATATGTTTTCTAATCAAAATACCAAGAGAGAAAGTGAATATTGAGTCCGTTCCGGTTTGCAACCGGTGTCCTATTTGAAACCGTCCCCTCTACTCTTGGTGATGTCCTATATAGATCTAGGACATCACCAGGACTGGTCACGTGGTCCTGGGTGCCCAAATCACCTGGTCTCCACGCCAGCAGGTGACAACTAACTTTCACACCAAGGTTCAACTCGAGTTCAACTCGAGTGACAGGACTGCACCCAAAAAAGGTCAAACAGGCTAGTAAGTTGTACCCTGCAGGCACGGTGACCAGGTGACTGGTGTACGCAGGAGCACGTGACCGCTTCTTCAACCATGTTCGATTGGGAATAAAGGAGGAACGCTGCATCGCAGCCTTTTCGGACCAAAACCAATCGACTCAGCGTCCAAAAGACTACAACATATGGGCCAATCGCGGTCATCCGTGCTTTTATAAGAACGAAATGGCGCTTTTAGTGACATTTTGCATACAAATCCCCATCTAGTAGGGCGCAGTCACCCAGTTTCGGTGGAAGTGCGCGAGTTCGATTGGGATTCAAGTAGGAAGGGAGCGTCTCAGCTTCCTCGGACCACGACCATTCGACTCAGCACCCCGAAGACTACAACTGGTGAAATTTTAATTTTTGCCTTAACTTCCCCTTTAATACCAGTGCGCTGATCCTCTGATCATCGTCCTCGTTATCATGGTTATCAGACCACTGCACCGGCACTGAGGGCCAAACGGGCAACGGACCGCCAACGGTGCCCAATTCTATTTTTTTATTTATTTTTTCACTAAAAAACACTTATGGAAGCGAATTCCAAAAGGGAGAGAGCTACGGGGGGGGGGGGAGAGAGAGAATTTCAAAAGGGAGAGAGCTACGGGGGGGGGGGGGGGGGGAGAGAGAGAGAGAGGGGGGGGGGGAGGGAGGGAGGGAGATGATAAGCAATTTTGCAGCGTCAACAGAGCGATTTTGCAGTGTCAATAGAGCGATTTTGAAGCGTCAACAGAGGGAACACAAAGAGTTCATCAGCGCACAAGCACGCAGAGAAGAGTAAATGACGTGGTGTGTGGACGGGAAAAGTCAGACAGAGCATTCATTGCAAGGTGTAGGGATGGAGGCAAGCTTAAATTGCTGGGCAGCCTTGATCTCCCTTACACTCCTTGGGAGAGCGTTCCAGGCCAAGGCTGCCTGAAAGGCCAGGCGAGATCTGCCGGCTTCTGACTGTGCGGAGGGGACAGTGAGGCCCCTGGAAACCTGGTGCCAAGTGGTGCTGCCAGCTGATGGTGAGAATAGGTCCTGGATAGGAGGACACTGCTGGCTTTCCCATTGACACAGCGCCACACCAGGACGAGCCGCTTCTGGGCGTAGCACTCGCGAACTCTGTACAGGGACATCCGTTCGAGCAGAGGCTGAGCCGAGGTGTGAGGCGGCAAACCGTATACCGCTCTCGCCGCTCGGTTCTGCAGGACCTGAACTGGCTGAAGGCGATCAAGCTGTGAAACCTTGAGGGAGGAAGAGAAGGCCTTAGACCCATATAGGAGGTCAGGCATGATGACTGACCTCACATACTGGATGCGACTACTGAGGCTCAGACATCTGCGGGACCGCCACAGTGCTCCAATCTTCTGCACAACTTTCTTCGCCATCGCGTCAACATGGGGGTCCCACTTCACAGCGGCGTCAAGGGTCACGCCGAGGTACCTTGCTGTTGGGCTCAGGGGAAGCTCTGTCTGGTTGCAGCGGACACCGACATGCTGACCCGCATTGCGTTGTGGTACAATTGACAGGACCTGGCTCTTCTTGTCATTTAGAAGCAGATGTCGATGCTTGAGCCAGTCAGCGACGTTGGTGACGGCCCTGATAGGCAGGCTGATGTGGCTAGCACTGATTTTCTGTGGCAGTGCACGGCAATGTCATGGGCAAATTGCAGAGATGGAGCAGGATGGGCTATGGCAGGGATATCACGGGTGTACATGCTAAACAGGATCGGTCCTAGGACCGAGCCCTGAGGTACACCAGATGAGCACTTAGCAGCAACACTGTAGGTGGGGCCAATGCGCCCTTGCTGGGTTCGATACCTTAAGTAGCTGCAGAACCAGCGAAGGGAGGCATTGTCCAGGCCGAGATCGCATAAGTACCCGGACCAGTTGGCTATGATTGACCTTGTCAAAGGCTTTTGACATGTCGATTAGGCAGACGCCTGTGGTCAACTTGTCGTCCCGGGCCTTTAAGATGGCATCTGTTGCTACAACTAGGGCGTCCTCTGTGGAGTGCTCACGGCGGAAGGCAAACTGAGTCGGTGGTATGGCACATGATCGCTCCAGATGTGCAACAAGTTGCTTCTGGACTATCTTCTCGAGTAGTTTGGATACGATCGGCAGGAGCGACACAGGACGATAATTTGCAGCTACCGAAGGATCGCCAGCTTTGAAGAGAGGGCTTATTACAGCATGTTTGAAAGCCAGAGGGACTTCACCATGCCTCAGCGATGAGCTGAAGAGCACTGAAAGCGATGGAGCTAACAGGTCAGCGCAAGCACGTAGCAGACACCCAGGAACCCCATCACTGCCTGTGGCTTTGCAGGGATTTATCCGTTCCAGGAGGTGCTTGACCTCATCTTGGGTGGTTGCCTGGAAGGTCAGCATTGAGCCTTGCGGCTGTGGACCAATGGGAATCTGGAGCTGCGCCGGGCGGGACGGATCATGTGCATCATAGAGATTTTGTCACTCCGACTAGGGCTGGCCAAACGCGCGGCTCCCAACAACATCTGCTGCAGCTTCCATCCAGAACTCATCCCGTGTCTCTTTCTGCTGCACGCGTTTGGAACACTCTTCCACGATCCACCTGATGCGAGAAACATCACGTCCCCCGGCGATCCCTCCTCCAGTTCAAGGGTGTGTTGCACGCGCATTGTCTTACTGTAGCGTGACAGCAACCCCCTCCCCTGTCGACATGTCATGTCTTGAGTACTAGTATTGTACTAGTAGTAATCCGTTATGGTTGGATGCCGCCGAGGTTACCAACTCATTGCTCTTGTGGACGGGACAATGGTATTGACCATGCCTTGTCATGTCCCCTTGGTGGGTTTACCATTATCCGCCATAATGAGATCCGGGATGTGACAGCCTCTCTCCTTCAAGAGACCTGTCACAATGTCTCCATTGAGCCACTGCTGCAGCCACTCACTGGAGAGAGAATGAGATACAGGTCTGCTATTGTGGAGGAGCATGCGCGGCTTGATGTAGCGGTCAGTGGTTTGTGGGGCAGTCGTTTTGAGCGTACTTTACTTGATATACGGGGTTTTAATCCTCATGCACGCTCAAATCGATCTGTACCACACACCACTGTCTATCGGCGCCATGAAAAAGAAAAGCGACGATGTTATGAAGAGAGAGAGTGAGAGAGGTGGAACATGCGACGTTCATGCCTGTTGTGCTGTCGGCAAGTGGTGGCGTGGGAAGAGCGGCGACATCACTCTATCGCCGAATCGCGTTATTGAGAGCGGAAAGGAGGAAGGAGCACTAATATCTTACATCAGATGCCGTCTCTCATTTGCCCTGTTGCGATCATGCATCATGTGTTTGCGGGGTTCACGGGGTCTTTCCGTGAGCGATCGGTTCGGCATCCGGAGTCTGCTGAGCTGGTTGTTGCTGAGGCCCAGGTTGCTCGCATGTGAGAATCTATAAATTGCAGCAGATTATTTTTATTATAAATACTGGACATGGATATTGAATTAAACTGTACTCAGTGACTTTTTACATTTTACAGGCTACGTTTTATTATTATTATTATTATTATTATGAAACTCGGATGTTGAGCCATAAATAAATGTAGAAGAGAAAAGGACATATGGATACGAGTTAAGAGTAACTCTCCATCACTGTAACATGATACTTTATACAGTCAGAAAGTGCAATAACTAGGCACAAAACTGACAGAGTACTGAAACATTCGACGTCCTGACACCTAGCTTCAACACATCTCCGTAGCGCTAACCGACAGCCTTCCAACTTGGAAGGTTCAAGGTTATGGAAAGACCCAAAGAAAATATCGTACTGGTCTCGTCATCGTCCAGTAACAATCGACATTCTTTGTTCCGTTGGGACTTTAGCTTTTGCTCGTTTTCGTTGCGCTTGCCTTCCCCTCTTTGGGTCTTTCCATAACCTTGAACCTTCCAAGTTGGAAGGCTGTCGGTTAGCGCTACGGAGATGTGTTGAAGCTAGGTGTCAGGACGTCGAATGTTTCAGTACTCTGTCAGTTTTGTGCCTAGTTATTGCACTTTCTGACTGTATAAAGTATCATGTTACAGTGATGGAGAGTTACTCTTAACTCGTATCCATATGTCCTTTTCTCTTCTACATTATTATTATTATTATTATTATTATTACGAAGTATAGCGCGAGCTCCGGTGTGGGGAGCAAACCCTTTCTTACAATTATTATTATTATTATTATTATTGTAAAGCTTTCCTTTTGCTCTTGTCTCTTATTGTTGTGACCTTTCCACAATAATTGTGTTGCATTGTCAAAAAAAATAGTAGTAATCCTCGATGCTCTGATACATGCCGAGGCTAGCTGTATGCTCAGTCACCGGCTAGCTGTATGCTCAGTCTATACATTCTTGATCTCATATTCTTCTTTTTTCCTTTCTTTTTTAAATGTTTTACTGCCAGAAATCGTCTTCATATAAGGAGGTAGATATGCCTGTTTGCTGTACGACTTTTAATAAATCCAACCAACCAACCAACCAACCATCACGCCATCACGCTCCTGCTATGGTGGGGACCTTCTTCACCATGCTTCACAGTCTCATGCAGCAGTGTGATACTCCGTTGTCGTTCCTACTGCCGTAGTTTGCTGTACATCTTGATCTTGGTAGTCCTGCCACACCCCTCTCCGTCTCCATGCTCTTCTTTAGTCTTTCTCGCTTCTTTCCTGTTTGTCGGTGTCTGTCTATGTGGGAAACGTGGCTGTGGTGTCTTTGATTGATGCTGGTGGTGTGAATGTTGCCTGCTCAATTCTAATTTTATTGATCTCCATGTAGTAGGAGTGCAGGACGTGGTGGCTTCCGGGGTTTACTACGCCTAGGACTCGGGGCTTTGGAAGACTCAGAAAGCAACCACAAAGATCGCCCCCTGCCATTACACGCATGCGTATTATTACTTATTAGCCACATACATTCACCGCATGATCCATGCCACTCTCAGGGCTATGATTAATACGTGGTTCAACAATTTAATCGTCTCGTTACTTGCATCTCGAGAAGTGCTTACTCTCAAATTTATGCACTGCATGTACACTAAAGAATCATAATGAAGTTCCATTTTCTAAGGAGAACATAAAGATGGCTAGTCCTTGTGAATGCTATGTGAATAATGCATTAATGATACGTACTAAGAATAATGTGCCGGTCATAAGTAATAATTTGTCATGCAGTATAACACCTGAAAGAGGGCAAACTTTAATAGCTGATGGATGCATGTTGGTATAGATTGATGACTGTGTTGACTCAATGATAATCTTTCTGGAGGATAGCGTCTGTCAGTACAATGCCGAGGACAGCACAAGGCAATACAAAATATTGAATAAGATTGTCAACAGATCAAGTTAAACTTAGAAATTAGAACTAAACTAACTGTGGATCTTGGCATCCTGTGACACAAATAATGTCCTTATAGATACCATTTGAAAGCTCGAGATCTTTTATAAGTATCTCTACTGTCTTGTTCTAGTGGCGTTACATTGACTAGAGACACACTATACCAAAGTAGGCAAATCCTCAAACAGCTCAAGAAAAGGGCTTGTCCGCCATATTGTTGCTCTATATCGAGAGACCGGCTTGGAAACTGTCGAAGCAATTGGTATCCAGCGGTCCCAGACCATCCAGTAGCTGACTCAGGTGGGTTGTCGATCCATTTGCGGCCGTGCTGGAAACTGCAGCCTGCATGACATTGGTTTGAGACAAGTGGCTGCTGAGCTGCTCGGATCGGCTGGTTTGTGACTGTGCGAGAGTAGTGCTGGTTGCATTCGCCAACGTAGTCAGAGCGGTCGACGAGGAGAAGTCCAGGGAGTTCATGGTGGCTGGGTGCGGAGAGGAGATGAAGAGCGAGTGCTGTGAACCTTGCAGAGATGCCAGATCCTCAGCCACGGAGAGAAGGTCCTCTGGCAGGCCGGAGTCCGAGCTACTGGGGTACCTGGGTGGTGGCCCACCGTGCTGCTGCTGTCGTGAGATGGGCATGTTGGTAAGGTTGGGCGTGCTGTTACACAGGGATGTCGCACTGTCCAGACCGGTCCCGGACGACAGGATGGATGGCATGCTTTGGTTTAGATGCTGGTTCGTTTGGCTGTTCAGGACCGACAGTCCCAGGGAAGCCATGCCAGACGACGGTAGGAGGCCAGCGGTCGCGGGTGGCAACCAGTTGCTGTTCTGGGTGGCTGGGGCGCGTGCTGTCATCGCCGTTGCCAGGGGTGTCGGGAAGGATTGTTGCATAGAGGTGAAATCACCTAGAGGCACACATATAAAAGAACAAATCAAATAGGAAGAGTGAGCCACGTTCTCCTAATATCTTAAAATGTGCTAGTAATGCTATGGGAGAGTCTACGAGCTGCCTGGTTACTGCCATGCACACATCACACTATCTGGAACATGTACAATGTATGAGCAAGCATACATTCACAAACATCCACACGTCCTAATGAATTTTCATCATCACCCCTGAAGTCGAGCAGTGCACACATGAATAGCTATGAGAGACTAACGTACCGAATAGGAAGCAGTTGTTCGCTGACTGCTGTGCTTGCGATCGGATATGCTGCTGCTGATGAGAGGCAGCTGCAGCAGCAGCAGGGAATCCCAGTGTGTTGGGTGTTGTCGCCATCATGCTGGTCATGTCCTGGCCGTGATTGAAACTGCTGCTGACCGCCGCCGCCGGATTGTAGATACCCTGCTGCTGGAACTGTGCGCCCAGCCACTGCTGATTAAACTCCGTGCTTGGGAATGCCGTTGTGGCGTCAGTCTTGGCCATGCAGCTCTGCATCCACCTCTCCTTGGAGCGCCGATGCTGAAACCAGACGAGAACCGTTCGCATACTCAGACCTGTCTCCTGGCACAGGCGTTCCCGCACCTGTCGGGATGGTTTCGGGTTGACGGAGAATGTGTTCTTCAAGATCTCCAGAATTGGCCCTTTGATGACTGCCCTGGCGGCACGCTTTCCAGGAGTCTTCTTGGTAGACGACTGTTTCTCCTTCTTGCTGCTGGCATCCTCGTCAGAACCTGATGGGCTTGGAGCTGAGTTGCTCGTGTCTGTTGATGGCGTCTCGGCGGTGCTGGAGTCGGTTTTGCTTGACGTGGCCAGGTTGGGCGATGAGGGTGATACAGCGGCACTGCCTGTGTACAGTGAGAGAGAGAAAGAGAGAAACAATACTGTAATGAATGCTGATTTAAACAGTTAGATATCGCCACCGCTAGGCAGATGATTTCGCTTCAGGTTGTTGGGGTGCTGAGCTGTCATGGCATTCAATAAGTATACCATACACATGTGCTTCAATTATTATTTGAAGTATAATAATGTACATGTACATCAGCGCTGATCAGGATTTAAACACGTATCACTATGACAATATCACGTGACTTACCAGTACTGGTGTTAGTGGAGCTAGCGCTGGCTGAAGATGCTGTGGTAGTAGCGCTCATGGGCGACACCTGGTCGCTGGTACTGCGGCTGCCGCTGCTGCTCGTGGCGGCGACGCTGCTCACGTCTTTGCGGAAATTGGCTCTGTCCAGGAGTTGGTCGTGACGTCCGCACACCACCTTGCCGTCTAGTCCACCGTAAAACTTCTCTCCGGTCTGCAGAGGGCGCGCGCACAGGCTGCAGTTGAAGCAGCGCTGATGAAAGACCTGATCCAGGACTTGATGAACCATATCCTCGTCTCGAATACCCTGTCTACACGAAGCGCATGTCAGTGAAGTGCTTCCAGCGCTGGTCCTGAAAGAAACAAAGAAAGCAGAACACAGGAAAGAATTCCTTGTCAGATTCTTGTCTGTCGGAGCGAGAGACGGATTGTAAAAGACTGACTTTTGCGAGCAATGTCGCGTGTTGAGTGCGCTCAAAGGGCATGCCATGTGCCTGATTCCGTGCGCCGTTTGGCTAAGGTGGAGCACCATTCACTGATCGACACACGTACACAAGCTGGTGATTCACCCAATGTCCAGTGCCAGCAGTATTGTCTACTCACTACATTGATAGCCTAGCGGAGTGAGTTTTGGCATATCCCTTTGTGGACAGCTTCCACTGCACACCTCATATGCTACGCTGTACCCTTTATATCCTTGAAACTCGAATGTTACCTATTATCACTCAGAATACGATCAGGCGGACAAATACTATCTAAACTTCGAAAATGGCCACTGGAATGCAATGATAATCACGAATGCAATTTTCCTGTGGGACTGTTACCCTCGGGAGTCAACGGTGAAGAAGGAATTGTTCAACTGAACAAAACAAGGCCCAGGGTGGTGATATAGGTGCGAAGGTTTCGACGGTAAGAAAGTGAAAACAAGAAGGCCGGGTTGGTAACGTCGATAAGGCCATTGCGGTGCTCTGGCAAAGTGTGTGATGGATTGACAACCGACGAGGACACCACTATGACTATGAGATGGCACTGGCAAGGCTACAGCAAAGGCTTGATCCGCGCCGCCCGTATGCCTTGCCCGTCCTTGAGCGGGGGTGTCTTTGACTGCCACCGTTCAAGTCGTCATATCAACGTTGTGTGACGATACTCCTTCACGATCTGGACAACAGCGTATTCCCGATGGCATGCCTCTCGTTTCGCTTCTAGGCAATGGTGCGCTGCGAGATAATGTCTGCGCGGACATGCAGATATGTGTCATTGTCATCGTAATGAGTCCCATCTGCAGGCGCTACGCTTGGCTGAAGTGGTGAGGATGGGCGAAACTCTTTTACCCTTGCTTGGGGAGACAGCGGTGAAGCGAATTTGAAGGCGATCAAGTACCCCCTATCTTAACATCCACAAATCCAATATTCAAAAACCACACAGGGAAGAAAGGTTAAGTGGAATTTAATAATTTGCCTTCAGGGCAATCCTGAGCATAGCATGGTCTTGACCTCGTCAACTAGGTTACTTGCACTTGCTATGTTGTACCTTATGATCGATTGAAGTATGTATCTCCGGGGTAGACCTGATCGCTTACCCTGTCAGCGAGGTGCGAGCCATTCTTCCTAGATCCAGAAACAACATCGTCCTCTGCTCAGTATGGGAGTGTTGCAATGAAGGCATGGTCGAAAGACTTTACAGGAATAGCTACTATCATCAGAGGCTTTTGAACAGAATAGGTAGGGGGTGTTTCAGAGGAAATCCTTTCCCGGAGCGATGTAAATCTCTCTCGCGCTGCTTGTGAAGTATTATGATGTGTGCAGAGGTCCTAAATACGAAATGGCACAGTCGAGCTTTTGGTGGACCTGCCTGGGGAAATGCTCTGCAGTTCACGCTCTGGCAAAGTGGAGGTCTGGGTTCGTCATGCATGCGGAGGCGCTAGGCTTTCATAGACGATGGTCAACCGACTCACCTGGTCCCTTACATGTACATTAAACATACAAAAGTGGTGCCCTGTGTGACCGCACCAGTGGAGGGTGGTACCACTACATGTACAAGTGCTGGCGGCGGCAGGCGCGCACGCATGAGCTGTGACGGTGCCTGTTCGCTTATCTTCGTACGGAAACCGGCAAGAAAGCGGTCAGGTTTGACCTGCTGGCGAGCCATAAAAAGCACAGCTGTGACAATGACACGCGCCTGCGTTGTCCATTGGCGATCCTCGCTACGAGGTATAGCGTCTGAACCAGTGATAGTCATGTTGGCTATGACGACAGCCAGGGGGAATGGTAATCTTAGAGTTGGGAGCACGAGACCAATGTCTTCGTCTTCAATGAGCCATGGGTAGGTGGGCCGAATCGAGGACTTCCCAGTGCGGATAACATATGTCCCAATCGTCAAGTAAATTTAGGAAGTTGTATCCACTGGTGCACACGCTCAACAGTATGTGCTAGGTTTGCATAGCAGATTTGTTGACAAACTACACTCTGTAAAGTTATCACTCTTTCACAATGCTTTACTAACAAATGACTGCAGTGAACCTGTGATTCCCCCCCCCCCCCCCCACTAAGCATGGTGAAGATCCTACAAGGAGATCCCACCATTGGGACTAACTACACAGGTGGTAGACCTCCCATCTAAGTCATGTTCTATTTTCCCTCCACAGCTGCTGCAGTCCACCATTCTAGTCATACTCTTCACACCGTGGCGGCGTTCATAAGGTAATGATTCAGCACCAACAGTCAGTATCCTACTTGTAAGTTGTATGCCTATGCTACAGTAGGATCGACGTTGAGCACCCGCCGCTCAGATCCACTGCACTACATGTACAAACACACTGGTACTTTAACTCTCTAGCTCTGAAGACCGCGAGGTGAGGCCCAAAATTACTAAGATAATGTGGTAAGATCAAAGCCAAAGGTTCGAGCTAAATTGGGGAAGTGCCTTAATTCATCCCTCGACGTGCAAGATGGTACCGAGTCGATACTGGCAGGTCAGACAAAATCCGATGTTCATTTCTGCTTGACTGCCCGTGACGGCAAGCGGAACAAAGCAGTTCACGTCGAACTCAGTTAACTGTCCTTGTCTTCATGTATCGACAGGAGAACATGGCCGACTTTTAAGATTATTTTTTGGTCTAATGAAGATCTGATAGTGAGGAGGATCGACGCGAGCTGCGTGAGGGGCGACACGCGGGACATCACTTAGCCATTGCGTGTCGAATGCGATTTCGACCAGATAAGCACATGCAGTTGAAATGAAGGACATCTACAGAGACCTAGTACACTGCTGATGTGTGAACGGCGTTGGCACAGTAACGGGTATGTCCCCATGCACGAAAAAGGGCGAGCCGCATGAGCGCGAACGATAATGTCAATTAGCGATCACTACACGTATTTTTCAGATTCTTCGACTTCTTCAATTATTTGCAGGCGAGGCAAGCATAGGGATTTACCTTGTGTTGGGGAAAGTAGCACCCAGCGGACGGAACATTGCTGTTTGACACTGGTGCTGATGTAGCTGGGCTGCACAATGCTGCTGACGTTGTTGTTGCTGCTGATGGCTGGGGTGGTAGGTAACACCTAGTGTTGAGCTAAGGTTACTTCCGTTGCCGAAGGTCATCATTCTACACAAGCCTTTACCCTTCGTAGTCGCGTCACGTGATTGTCTTGGAGTTCTCTGAGAGTCTGCTGGTAAACTTACTCACGGTCAAAAACTCTAGCACCAACAAGTCGAATACGTTTTGCTCACCTAGCAGGGGGGACTTCATTTCGAAAGTGAAAGTAAACAGGAACACCTCCGTTCTTTTATAGACGGTCTCTCTTCTCCCTCCTTGCCACGCGCCCCTGTCTGTTGCCAGCGGTTGGTGCCAGGCCAGAGCAGCATGTAGATGCATGCTATGTGCTTCGGGGGACATGCGCACGTCACACGCACCGACTACCCAAAGCCAGAAGTCAAGGAGGAGAAACTCGAGAGTGCACGCATGCAAGGTCAGGTACTGGATCTACTGGAGCATCTTAGACGAGACTTTGTGCAGTGTGTTGGGGGGGGGGGGGGAGCGAGCCTGGAACCAAACATGGCATACAGACACACGTGATCAGGGAAAATACGTCTGTAGAATCACGCCTTGTTGAAGCTCCACTCCGCGCAGAAAATAGCAATCCGTGAAGGCTACTCAGCCAGTGCCTCTCCAGGGCTAGTACGATGCACATACAAGGATCTAATCTTCTCCGCGTTCCTCTAGCCAACCATGTAGCTCTCAGGCTGTTGCACGTGCAGCACAGTGGTCGCCTTCGTATTATCCAATGGGAACCAACACTGACCGTACAATGGACCATAGCCAAGCTACATAGCCATTGCAGGGTACTGTCCAAGAGCAATGGCTATGGGGGTATTGCCACTGCCACTGGGATGTGTTTGCTACTGAGTATTGGCACTACTGCGAAGGGCCCATGCACTCAGCTGGTCACTGAGTCGTGTCCACGGCTGACGTCAGGACTCAGGAGGCTGGTGGTTTTCGGCCAGTACAGTTCCAGCGGACTAGTGTGTCGGCCGTCGGGACTAGGGACGGCGCTTCCATGTTAGGACAATATGGCCCTCATGCAACCAGTATATGTGTATGTGGATGTGTGTATGTGCATGTGTGAATTAAATTGAGGGAATCAATGCAGGAATGCGAATGACAGATCAAGAAAGCCCAATCGGTGTGGCCTCGGGCCGTGCCAGCGCAAGGAGTTGCCAATAGCAATGCCTTGGCATAGTGGCGAGTTTCTCGCGTGCAGGAAAACAAAGGGCCACACCAGCTCCGTGTTGACCTTAAGCGTCCAAGCAACATGGTGTTGCATGGGCATGCTTTGCTTGGCTGATGAGTAGCCTGCTCTTCAATCGCTCCGCAAGAATACCTTAGCACCGTGTTGGCACTCAGCTATCATGTAGAGCGAATACTAACCAGTGCAAGGGAAGTGGAGAACAGAACCTCTAGCTAGATGAGCACAAGTCTCTTCCTCTTTGCCGCGCCACTCATGTTTTCACTCGATACGCTCATCGGCGGTATTGTGGCGGTCGTCTCTGTATGCATGTTCGACCCTACATGTAGCGCTGTGGAGTCCCGTCAATCCAGCGCTGTAGTCCTCAAACTCAAAGCGTACATGCACTCGTTCCTATGGGGGTCAACAACCGGGGGCATGTACTGTCCTGGTCCGTGGCGAAAAGCATAGTCCGCCACGCTCTCTTAGTACGTACTGCGGGCCGTGTTGGATACTACAGCTAACCAGTGCCAGTACGAGTGCAAGAGCTCTCCAATGAGTAAACGTTGAGCTAGGTAAGCTCAGGCCGTCAGGGCGCTACAAGCCTACAGTGATAGTGCCCGTCCTCGCTTCGCAGCCCTCAACGCTTCTTACTCCGAGTCAAGAGGTGAACATGCACTTGCGCAGTACCTGTGTGCAACGTCGAGCCTTGTTTGGACAGGTGTTACGAACCTCCCTGGACGCCCTATTATGTAGCTTCAAGTGTACAGGTGTATCATGGGAATGTCTGAATTCTTCCCGTCGTTAGGCGTCTTTAAGAAAAAAACCCGGAGAGGGTACGACCATGTGTGATACAATTTACACGTCACAGAGGATGTGCATGGATGGTGTGGCATTATAATGATGATGTGGCATTGGTACTGTACACTTCCCAGTCTTCAGTCAAGTATGTATACGTATGCTACACGATGCCTAGAGCTCCTCCCTGACCAACTGGCGTCGATGTTCGATACTGGCAGGTGACGGAAGTACCTTGCGTGGCACGGAAGCAAGATTTGATCCGATCGGCACGAGAATATTGACCCAGTGGCTGCATGCTGGTTAAAATGATAGAGGCAGGGGTGACAGAACAAGTACATGACGGTATACACAACAGCCCCAGAGTTCTTCATACGTATCCTCACACGGAAGCTGGTGTTGTTAGACGTGTACTGATGTCCACAACAATACAAAATATCCTCTAGATCATCTTCTTATCGTCATATCTGCACTCGATTCCCACCGATTCAC